GGGTGATGGGGAGAGGAACTGTAAAGTAATTTTCGAGTGGGTAGTTTTTATAGCCCGGTGCTAAGTGTGAACACATACTAGTTTGGTCGGTGTGAACAGATTTGCAATTACTTATTGCGTTGTAATATGCAATGTGACGATAAATAAAGTCAAAATTTATTGATGGTTCTGGCCTTCTGGGCCTAAAAAGCCCCGTTTTTGTTGTTCTGCCTCATCGCAAATCATTCTTTTGGATCAACCATATGCCACGCATCGGAAGCCCGAAACATGGGCCCTTGTTCTCGGATGTACGTGTATGTGTCTACCCATTATCAAACACGGTCATGATATCACCATCGTGTCCTATGGATGCGTCGTCGCGTCTCCCACTGGGTGCTAGAAGGTTGACCACGTGGTTGCTCGCGTGGCGTCCCTGCGTGCGCTCTGCTCGCCATTGAGGCAAATTTACAATGGCAACGGTTAATAATTGTCTTACATATTCAGGATAATTTAAAATGCCACATGCGGCAAGGCACAAAACACTCATGACCTACTTATGCATACAATTATTATAAAATATAGGCTAAAAAGCTGAGCTGGCGGCCTTCCGACCAGGGTCTTCTCGAACTCCATGATCAGCATATCACCCTTGCGACCGTTCATTATGTGTACCTTACTAATCATCGCACACGAGTAATCGCAGACGCATCGTATGCGATACTCCTAGCCACCACAAGAAACTAGTTTGCATTTTTCAAAGTTTTTTGTACGAACAGAATCGCACACGAACTTACTATAGTAATCATCTGTGTTATAATTTCTCATTGCAAACAGTTCATCCGAGTGGTCTGTTTACTGCGTATCACACACATCTGGTTTACACGAATCGTTTGTGTTCTTTTGGCTCATCGCAAATGTTGCATATCACACACATCTCGTTAAGATCAACCGTTTCGATTCTCTTGCCTAATCGAAAACAGTTTGTCCAAGTGAACCGTATGCTGTATATCACACGCACCTTGATCTAGCTAACCGTTTCTATTGCATTCCCTAATAGCACACAGTTTATCGGAGTGAACTGTATGTCGTATATCGCACACACACATTGATATGGCTGCCCGTTTTTGTTGTTCTTCCTCATCGCAAACAGTTCTGCTGGATCAACCGTATGCCCAGCATCGCACACGCAAGTAAAATCTAAAGCGTGTTTGATGTCTCCACCATCGCAAACTTTTTGCACCTTTTTGTTTTACACCACTGTTTGTGATTATTGTGTCGCACATAGTTTCGTCGAAGGGTCTCTGATCGTAGTGTCGCGTTAGCAGCATCCTGCAGTAGTGATGCATGATTGGTTTCCAAGATATAGGGGGAGATCTCCACAATTCCAATCTGCCATGTGCATTTGCAATCCAAAGAAAATTCCTCATTTACACATCTTCAGTGGGAGTTCCTCAATATCTTGTAACCAATTTCTTTAAACTCTGTACTTGCACTTCAATTATTTATACTCCCATTGACACCTAACCAATTTCTCATCAATCACCAATATGGGGGATATTGTAAGTGCATCAAGTATCCCCTTAGTGGTTTTGGAATATTGAAGACAAATAGGTTGAGGAACTAATGTATTTGTGAGTATACACAGGTAATATAGTTCCAAAAGATTTGGTTTAAGACATGAAAGTCGACCCCTAAAATGGATTTCTTCAAGTGAAGAATTTGGTGATGAAATTGGTACGGCCTTTGAAGAAATTGGTGTGAAGACTTTGAAGCTTGAAGACTTTGTTTTCGTAGTTTCTTTTCTTATTATTTGAGTCGTAGGAAAAACCGTACTATCGAAGGGGGTCTAGGTGAGATATATTTCACATTTCCAAAGTGATGCTCAAACCTATTCAAACTTGTACACAAAAACTGCTTCGAGTGAAGCATTTGGAAATCTCTAGTACAGCTGCTGCATTTGCTAGCGATAGTGATGAAGTTCATCTGGCCATTGAAGAATTTGGTCACGCCGGGGAGTTAGGAGTATGCCAGTGTGTTCTGCCTAAAAGTGAGGAAACTGAGTGCCCTGAATTTGAGAGTTCAAATTTCGACTGTTGTTGCGCCGCGTGCCAGCTGTCGAGTGGATCCTTATCCTAACAACGGTCGAATGAGAGAAGGACATTTATGACAATTCATGTCGGGCTGCCCCTGGCTATAAATAGCCTCCCCCTACAACCACTTGTTCGTTCGCTGCCCGAGAGAACTTGACACTTGTCATAAGAGAGCAACCCATCCTCTGACGATTTTGGGAGAATCCTAAGAGAGGAAAAACCCAGAGCCAAAGTGATTGAGCATCACTGAAAAGATTGATCTATGTGATCCAACGCCTGTTACCTTTGAAGACAGTTATTCTTCCAGATGGTTAGACGTCAAGTTCTGAGTACACCAAGAGTCATTGTGGTGTGCCGGTGAATAAGTTTGTGAATGTTTTGGAAGTCTACCTTGAAGACTTACCATGATTGATTGGACGAGATCTGCATGTCTTAGTTCAAGAGGAATACGATGAGGACTGTGTGTCCTCTGAGTTGGGACTCAGCTGTCGTGGGAACTTTCGAAAATAGTAAGGGGTAGGGTAAAGGTGAATGATCTATCGAGATGCAAACAGGTGACACGAATGATTTTAGCGACTTCAGGCCTCTCATGGTGGAGATAACAACCCTACGTATCATGCTCCAGAGAGGCTTTCTTTTATCTGTCAAGAACACCGGGTTACATTGTGTATTTGAGAGAGAGGGGGGAGAACAGATCTCCATGTCTGAGCTAAGTCCTGAGACTATTGGTGAGGGGAAGAGAGATGAGAGCTAGGGCCATCCTAGCTACATAGTGGGGGTGGGTTATATAGAGTACGCCACCCCCCTCATCTCTTATATTACAAAGTGGGGCATTGATGCCATAATGTCATAATACTACTAGGATGATGCTTCGACTGCCTTGACGACTGTTAGTCTTTGCATATCCGAGTGAGTCATACTGCCGAGTGGTTGCATGTCATCCGAGTGGATGGTACATCGGTACGTCCGAGTGGATAGTATGTCTGAATGAGATTTATCTGGACCCACACCTCATGTGTGGACCCCATGCTTTATGATATTTTTACCCTTTGTGGGCCTACCTGTTATGTGTATCCCCAACATTAGCCCCCGAATCGATTGCGATTTTGCAGAATGAGTTTGTGAAAGACACAATTTGGCCCGAGTCATTACGGTAATACTCGATACCCATCATCGTCCTTTCAAACAACCAAGGTTTGAACAAAATCTCAATGGATTCTGGCAATGCTCTTCCTGACCGATCTGGGGTAAGTGGGCGCGAGGAGAAACATGGTGACAATCGTTCATCTCTCGGAAGAGGTATACTCATGATCCGAGTATGGAAGTGTCATTAAATCTGGGCAACCAGATTGATGCATGGACCGCTCTCTCGGAGATATGCCATTCTTATCCTGGAGGAACGTCAATACGAGTCGGCTCTAGATCCAAACTTATGGGTTTCACCCTTCAATTCCTAGAAGAAGGCTCGAAACGGGTCCATAGAGGAGTGTTAAACTCACCTTATAGCAATTTTTTGAGTGATCTGGAGCTAGTCCTGCACCGAGTAACTGATTACTAGAAATTTTGTTCTGTGGGTGCACGATCAGCGCACCCATAGGGTGTAGCCCGCGAGACTCTGACTGTTTACCTGTTATGTTTATTCCCAACATCAACCGCCTCACCCAGACGTACAGTTGATGCAGCAACTGGAACCGGTCTACCAAATTTCATTGTCCTCACCGAGCCAACCTGGTTTTAAATTCCTCAACCCTCTCTTTACTTTATTCCGCTGCTAAAGAATTTGTGATCTGTGTTCTGACGAATTTGAAATGAAGAGTTTCATCACGCTATCTTTCATTTCCTCAGTTCATTTTCTTCAAGCGTGTATGAATATATGATTGCATGTTCTTCACTCTCACATATCCTGATTGCATGTACTCTGATTCTGTGATGTCTTAGCTTCCCTTTCACTCTAATCTTCGTCAAATTCTTCAGAGTTTGACAAATTTCTAAAAATCTCCCATTCACCCCCCCCCCCTATGGGAGTTAACCTGCGCTTTCAAAGCATCCTTGGATTAGAAACGGCACGGCTGGAAACATGCGCCACCAATTGAAGATGCAACGACATAAGGAAAACTGCTGCCATGGCAGCCGAAGGTGCCACATGGACCAATCAAAGGGGAAGAGTGCGTCATCGAACGTCCAACTCGGATTCGCCAACCAGCTCGCAGGTTCGTGGGCCAAATATGGGATAATGCCATTATAAGCAAGGCATGGAAGGAGTGAAGCATCCTTGGATCAGAAATGACACGGCTGAAAACAAGTGCCACCAACTGAAGATGCAACGACATCAAGGAAAAGTGATGCCATGGCAACCGAAGGTGCCACATGGACCAATCAAGGGGAAGGGCGCGTCATCGAACGTCCAACTCAGATTTGCGAGCCAGCTCGCAAGTTCGTGCCCATAATGGGGTAATGACATAAAACACAAGGCGTGGAACGAGCAAAGCATCCCCGGATTAGAAACGACACGGCTGGAAAGCAGCCACACCGATTGAAGATGCAACGACATCAAGGGAAAGTGTTGTCATGGCAGCCGATGGTGCCACATTGACCAATCAAGGGGAAGGGCGCGTCATCGAACGTCCAACTCGGATTCGCGAGCCAGCTAGCAGGTTCGTGGGCCCAAAATGGGTTAACGCTATAAAAAGCAGGGCGGTGAAGGAGTGAACCATCCTTGGATCAGAAACGGCACGACTGCTTTACTTTGTGTTTCTTTCTTCTTTCCGAGTCGTATTCGAGACCTGGTGTGTGTAAACGAAAGAGAGAGAACTATAGTACCTAACACCAATGTTCATGGTCCATTTCCTCCATTGATAGCTAATATTGTTTTTTTTTGACAGGTAGTAGCTAATTGGTGGGAGGGGAACGGTGGGGTTTTCCGGAGCTTCGATGCATCTAAGGTGGGGACCTCGTCGGCGTTCCCCCCGGCTGCTAGCCCAAGGCGGCGGACCGGATCTCATCAGTGACCTCCCCGACGACCTCCTCCTCCTCGTCCTCGCCGGCCTACCCTGCGTCAGCGCTGCCGCGCGCACCGGGGTCCTCTCCCGCCGGTGGCGCAGCCTCTGGCCCAGCCTCCGCCAGATCGTCTTCAGCGACGTCCCGTTCCACTCGCTCGAAGCGGTGCTCGACCGCTTACCTCGACCCCTGCCCGTGGTTTCCCTCATCAAAATCCGCTTCCCCAACGAGCGGCTACCATGGCCGATCCCCGAGGAGCGCCTGGTCGACGCTGCCAGCGTCAACTCGTTGCTCCGCGCCGCCGCGCGGCTCGAGCCGGAGGAGTTCGAGTTTGAGCTCCCCACGAACTTACTCGACGGTCCGCTCATCGTCGACCTGCCTTGCTTCCACCGCGCCACCTCCATCCTGCTGGACCTTCACCCCGTCGACGTCATCCTCCACGTGCCAACCGGCGTCGAGTTCCCCGCACTCGAGGAGCTGCACCTGTGGGCATGCACCGCCGACATTGACGCCTTGCCCTCCTGCTCCCCGCGCTTGCGCACGCTCTGCCTGAGTAACGTTTATTCCGACAACGACGACCTCGCTGTGAGCGCCACGCTTGCGGTCAGCTCGGCGTCGCTGCAGGAGCTTGTCCTGCTTCAAACCGACTGGATGGATGGCGTCAACATCGTTGCCCCCACGCTTAGGCAATTGACCGTGTCTTTTCCGGCAATGGAGAAGGTCAGCATCTCGGTCTTGGCACCAATGGTGGAGATGGTCGCGTGGAGATGCTGCTACTTCGAGCTGTCCATCGTGTTCGGTGTTTGGCGACTCGAGCAGGTGACTCTGCAGACGGCTGAGAGACCAGGACAGCTGCCTTCGCTGCAGATTCATGCCAGCGCCGTACGTCCTTCTCCCACTCAACTTATAGCAAGCTCTGACCAAACTAAATGTGTGAATGATACATATCGTACCAAATTGTTTTTCCAGAATCCTATTTTTGTCAGTGAAGAGGAGACATTTATGCACGAGATAGAGAAGCATATGTTTGCCGAGTTTTCTGTTTTGGAGCTACATCTCGAAACAAATGGACATGTGTTTGGAGCGCTCGCGTTTCATGTCCTAGGGATGAATAGAATTTGTAGTGCTATGCAGAAGCTTAAGGTCATTCTACAGAGATCATCGGTAATTTTCTGCTCTGATTACATACTCTAATGATACATTGTGTATTAATCACATATAATGTTTTTTCTCACAAAAAATCACATACGATATTTTTCCCGAAAAAAGAAGTTCACATATATATTATATTTGGTTTTAGGTGAAAGAAGGATGCTCACCTCATTGTCCATGTGAGTCCACGGGGTGGAGATCCCAAACTATCTCCTTGACTCGAATCGAAGAAGTGGAGATCAGTGGTTGTGGAGGAGACGATCATGACATTGATTTCTTGAAACTGATACTCAAATGTGCGCCAAGGCTCAAAAAAATGATTGTGAAGCTGTCAGATGGCGGGGCCTCATCAAGTGACGATGGATGCACAAACATATACAACATTTTCAAGGCTTATTCTTCCGTGGAACTCTGTTTATCTTAGCTCTGGTGAGTATGTTGTACACGCCTAATTAGCATGCTTTGTACTCCCTCCGTTCCTAAATATTTGTTTTTTTAGAGATTTTAAATGACTACCACATACGGATGTATATAGACATATTTTAAAGTGTAGATTCACTAATTTTGCTCCGTATGTAGTCACTTGTCGAAATCACTAGAAAGACAAATATTTAGGAACGGAGGGAGTAGATGCAACAAGGACATAACTACTAATCCTTGTAAAGTTTCATACTAAAGTCAAGTCGTCAGCTTTTTCATGTTGTGCAAACTCTCTAGTGTGGTTCAAATGTGGCATTGATAGGCCAACTATCTGATGCATACGCATCCCGGTTATTAGCTAAATATGCTTAACAGTGAATTTGTATGGGCAAACCCTCATATCTGTATCAAATAGGAGCTTAATGGTGTAGTGGGTGATAAACAGTTTGAATGTTTTTATGCAAGCTTACTTACCTAAGTTGCCCTTTTTATGCAGTTTTTATCAAAAAAATTGCTGACTATGCCCTTGTATTTTGCATCTGTATCCAGTGCGTAGCAAAAAGATAGTTTCTAGTTTATGTAAAGTTAGTTGTCCCATCTGAATTACACTGTCATAAAGATAGTTTCTAGGTTAAATTATGTTCGAGGAGTACTTTGTTTTTTTTTCTCTGCCTTTACTATGTATTACGTTTTATCTTCCAACGGCAACAAATTTACTCATACAATGACTATACATTTGCAGCACATTACGATGCTTACCAGAGTTTTTCAATTTGCAATCTCTGCAGGGTTAATGCTCAGCAGCCAAAACTCCCCCTCAGCATGATTGCCATGGTTATGCCTGGATCCGCGGTGCTCGTCGACATGATTATCCTTTCTAAGAACAACCAACTCTGTTACCTGGTCTTAAAATTTTGCTTTGTTGCTTCATCCGATTATCTTAGGTGTTGTTTTTCAGTGTGTGGTAGCTTTATATATGGCTGTAAGTGATGCACTCGTAGATAACTCCTGAATGGTTCCCGGGCCATTCAGGCATTCAGCTATCAAAGTTAATGCACTAAACCTGTGTCAGTCATGCACTCCAAAGCTAATGACAAGTTAAGCCTATGGTTTCAATTGCTTGTCGCTGTTTCATTTTGACGAGGCACTGTGTGTTTTCACAAAAAATAGATTGTGCAGCAGTAGATGTTCACTCTGCAGCTCATTACTTATATATATATGAACAAAATTAGATTTCTGATTTGCTCACCCTCTGAACTTGAGAGTTGCTTTCGGTTCCCTCTGTTTCTTCAACTACTGCAATCGAGCCGATGGATCACAAGTCTCGGTCTTACAATCAGAAATCAATCAGATGTGCCTTCCCGTCTCCGATGGCCGGCTAGTCCTCCCTCCTTCTGTCCTTGATCCTCCGGCCTCTCCCTTGTCTGCTCTCCTTTTTCAGCCACCGGCCGCAACAATCATGAAGTCTAACTAGATTCATTTACAGGCATGAACCAAACAAAACAAGGATTTATCCATTACGTCCCGATACCAGCGTGATCTAATTCCTTTACCATTGACGTTACCACTCTCTAATCCAAACACCTCCTTAATGGTATCCTCCAACACAATTGCAACTATTCGACTTGAAGGAGCACAGCGAGTAAGGCCCGACTCAATCAGGCTATCAAGTTCATGGCGCCAGTACCAGCTTCAGTTTCAGACGCTAGCTCCTGCATTCCAACAAGTACTCCACCAGTTAATATTGTACGTACTTCTTAGGAAATGCGTGACTGAGCAGAAAGCCAGTTATACCAAGCATTACCAATCTATTAGTCCGTTGCCTTTTTTATCGCGATCGTCTTCCTCAGCAGTTGTCAGCCTCTCTCTTAGATCGACTGGGTCTGCCAAGTATTAACACCCTTTAGTATCACCCAAATAAGTATTAGTATTAACATTCATTTATTCACCTTTTATGTATAATGTCCTCTTAACAGTCAAAACATTTAAAAATGCGAGGGAAGGGCTAGTGCAGATTGGAAATCAAGAGCCTAAACTCAGACTAACATTTTTGAATGAGATCCTGGAGTTCTTAGCGAAGACCTATAACCGTAAAAATGAACATGTACAGGCAACCCACCGTGCAAGTAAAATCATGCAACTGTTATAGGCCTAAAACAGGTAGAAGAAAGAAAGCAGCCAACAAATGCAAGAGGCAGAAAAGGATATCCACCACAGTTTCGAAATAGCTTGCCGAAGCAACCAAGTGGTATGAGGACAGGAGAAATCAATATGGGTAGAAGAACACTATTATCGGTAATGGAATTTCTCTGACAAACAATTTCAGGTATCAATATGTGTAGACGTAGCTCATGCTTACGAAAACGGTTGAGTGTTCAGTTAATTTACCTGCATTTGTGGCAGATATGATCCAAGGGATTTTCATTTTAGCAGGCTGTGAGACTGAATCACCTGTGAAGAGTTTGACAGTTAGATATTATGCATATAGCCCGTTGATTAGTTCCTTATGTTCTCTATGATGAATGAATGCAGCTGTTCAACGAATTTAAAAAATACTTAACCTGAATTTGCAACTGATGGGTTCCAATGAAGATAATTAGGCAAACCTGTGAAAGTTGGAGCACCTGAAAGGAGTTTTGCAGTTAAAACAGATAGTAGGTAGCCAAAGCCAAGGACTCAGTGTTCAACTATTTACCTGCACTTGTCACTGATGAAGTCTCAATGTTTTTAGTTGAACCTGTCGTATGAAGCATTATCTGCGAAGATGGAGTGCTAAAAGCACCTGCCCAACAAGCCCACAAAAATGAGCATGTGCATGTAACCAACTAGGTGTATTATATGATTTGTGGTGTGTATGCTTATCAGCTTCCAGATGCCAGTGCAATCCTGCAACTATTGTGGGTATAAAACAAGTAGAAAAAAGAAAGCAGCTGATAAATGCAAGAGGGGGAAAATTCCTCGGTTTTGGGAAATAGTTTGCCATAGAAACCTAGAGGTATGACGAGAACAGATATATATATCAACCTGCTGAATTATAAAACATGGCAGGCAGAATATTACTATCGGTGATGGAGTTTCTCTGCCAGGTGACAACTAAGAATTTCAGGTATCAATATGCGCAGATGGACTTTCTATATGGTATGAAAACGGTTGAGAGTGTTCAGTTCATTTACCTGCATTTGTGGAAGATATGATCCAAGGGATTTTAGCAGGCCGTGAGACTGAATCACCTGTGAAATGTTAAAATGATGATTATAGCCCCTTCATTAGTTTATTTGGTGTTCTCTAACAATGAACCATACTAGGGATCATCAATCTTAAAAGATGTAGATTTGTCTAGGTTTGAAAACGAATGCAGGTGTTCAACGAATTT